ATTCTGCAGAAGAAAAATGCTTCATATGAAGCCAGGTCTAGTGACTCTGTCTGTCCTCAGTTGAAAGTATCCTTATTCTCGAAAGGTAAAGGTCTCTCAGGAGGAAGACGGCTGGCTTGATGTAGCAGCTAACTGATTATCATTCTAGTTTCCGGCATGTTGTATGGAATGTCGACATTACTGTTTTCCACTGGCAACCTGTTTTTGTTCAGCTGTACCTCTTTGCCGTGGACTGTTCCTGTTGGCTGTGTGTCATTGAAAGAAGTAAATACAAACAATCATCAGGTCAACCCAAAGAAGAATTGTGTAAAAGCAGCTCCTTCTTGTACCTGTTAATATTCTCCTCTCCTCCTCCTGGGCATTGTGGACCTCCTGCAGGGCTGAGCTCTAGTGGCGGTCTGCAGTTTCATTCTTTATGCAAGTTCCTGAAGAAACACATCACAACATTTAATATGTGTATTGTATCCTGTTTCCGTGCTGTTTGACTAACCTCTACTCTCCTTGTTCGCCGTCGAGTTCGGGAGATAATCCAGTACATGGGAAGTACTACACTGTTAAAGTAAGGTAAGTGTAAGTGTTAATGTAATATTTGACCCTCCAGGTGTGGGAAGTATCTGGATCTACTTTCCGTTGCTTATGCTTCATTTCCTCTCACTCAACTACAAAATAACAATTGTTTTCCAGCTTTTCTTTAACACCTAAATGAACCCAGCCAATGCTCCATGTCTGAAAGGCCTGACGAGTGGGTCCAAATATTAGTCGAAGCTCTTGAAAGCCTAACAAAGCGTTCACTCATTAGTTGAGGGTTGTTAATTAGTCCACATCGCTGAAAGCTAGCTCTGAAGATCTTTAGCTTATACTTTTTGCTGGGAAAAAACAGTGATGACCTCTTCCCCGTTTTTGTCTCCTGTGTCATCCGCTACTTCCTGGTTGGGTCAAAATGGATGTGGGTCATTTACTTTGTTGATGCTGTAACGTTTGTGAATCTCTGCTGTCAAAACCTTGTTGTTAGTAATTATTGTGACAGGCCTAATTGTGGCTAAATAACCACCAAGTACACAGGAGGGAGACACCATCCGTTGTCTCATTGCACGACGCTGGGGATGATTTCTTACATTCATGGCTCTGTACAGAACCTGAGGGTCCTGGATGCCGGTGATCTCCCTCAGCTGGTTGATCAGCATCTCGCTCTGCTGAGGGAAAGGATGGGACAACGGGGAAACAATAGTCAGGCTTTAAATCCACTCATATAGTTTGGGTTAGTGATGACTGACTGGGTACAGGATGGGTTTTACAGGAAGAAGAATATATATATTTACTTCCATTTTCTTCCAAAGCTTCCCCATAACAAAGGAGGTTGTTTTAAATGATTCAACCCATGTTTAACCCTTGTGGAAACCAGCAGATATCCCACTTTCTGCCTCTCTGTACTGTTGAACAAACCAGAGGCCCATCATTTGGCACCTGAGGATAATAGCTCATATTAGCCTTCCTTTTAGCCCTGTGACTCAGATGGGCAGACACTCACAGGTTATATCTGGAGCCAAAGGACAAATGTCAACCTGTCATGCCTATATGAGGTCCACAAACAAAGCCAAATTCAATGGCCTCAATATGCATATCAGCATATCAGAGGACCAACTGCCAAGCAACCAGCAGGGAGACTCCAGGAAGCTACTGGCAAAATGCTATTTTTACACTCGGGTTTTTAAATGATTGGTTGAGCAAACAAAATACATAAACGTGGGATTTAGTGAGGTTGTCAACTATTAAATTAATAAAGTATTGAGCGAACGTAGTCCACATTCAGACGGGTAAACACAAACTGTCAGGGGCCGCCTTATGTTCTGACCTCAAAGACACAAGACATGAAGAAAGAAATAACATAAGCTGAGCGAGAGGCGCTATATTAAGCCTGCTACCCCAACAGCAGGTGTCAACATGTCAGGGTATCTCTCTCTC